GATGGTACGTATGGTGCGAGATGCATACGAACGGACAGACTATCCATTTCCTTACATTGGCGCTTGCTTGAATTTTAGTCGCACAAGTGAAGCATATAAAATTATCACAGCCCTTGGATCAATGATTCAATCAGACGGCTTTATACAATTAATGAATAATGATACAGAAAAAGCTATTACAATTGCTCAGAAAATGATTACAAATTTGAAAGACCCATTTCATTCTGATATTGAACTCTCCAGATTATTGAACGATATGTGATTTGTATCCAATTTGATCGCTATTGACTCACTATTGAACGCATGAAGACTAGTGGCATATATATAGACCACATTTTACGTCTTTGATCATTTAAATATAAAATATCAAAACAAGTGATTCTGAAAGAAAAGACGATAATGCTGAAAAATAGGCGTGGGTGTGAACTATATATAGATCTGCTACGACGCGTTTCGACTGAGTTCCGCAGTTTCATCAGGTTACTTAATAATACATAATTTAATCCAAGTAAATTAAAATTAAAAAGACATTACAATGACCTCTTTCAAATAATAGAAGAAGTTAACCAATTGGTGATAGTAGACAATCTAACAAATATCTTGATGGTGTGGGTGTGAGTGTAGATGTGGGAATGCAACACACTACTCACCCACACCCATCCTTCGAGAAATGAAAAGAAAGATTTACATAGCAAAAAAGAACAGAAAAGGAAAGAGAAGAGAAGATAATATTAGTTCAAACTGTCATAGTAATTTAACGTCCTCTTTTCCAGCCTTTTATTTACATTGGCATACATGATCATGCTGAGCATGTCGAACAGCTTTACTAGCTTCAAGAATAGCAAGACCATCTTCATCACGAGCACGATCAATATTAGAAGCAATCATTTTGGCACGAGTAAAAGCATCAATAACAATCTTACGAAGATCACCATCACAAATAGCAGCATTAAGCGCAGCGTTAAGATCATCAACTGCACTACGACAATGATTAACAGCATGGCCACGGGGAATTCTTTGAGATATACGAGCAGAAGGACGAGCATCAGCAACGGCAATCACAGTACGAAAAAGAACTTCATAAAGAGTGTCAGTATTATCAGCGCAAGTTCCGTCATCACGACGCTTATAGTTAGCGCAATAAGAGGGAACCCAATCACAACATTTTCCACATTGAGGACAAGTTCGACCGCCACAATGAAGCTGAGTAAATGCTGACATAATTCCGCAAAAAATTATAATTATCTTGGCCTAGAAATCATATGAAAATCTCGTATCCCATATATCTTTGTTGCCTTGTCTTATTCATTCCTTTCGATCCGGAATGAAAACTACATAGGGAGACTTTTTTTCTGTATTAACGTTTTTGACGAAGAACTATTTACGAGTTGGCGATTAAAATTCTTTTACAACCACCCTTCTCTATTAGCAATATACTGTATATTGTCTCAATATTATACGATTGTAATTATTCTTCTATTTGATAAATGAGAACTATAGTCTCCGAAATGAGATTTTCTCAAGTGCAACTGTTACATTTATTCAGATCGAGAAACAAAATTTCTGAGACAAAGTATTACATAAAAACCATTGCCGAAAACAGCTTTTTTCAGTTAATAAAATATACTTACGATGCAAATGAATATTGGAATATATTTGAATTGTTGTAAATCTTGAAAGTAAGCAACTTCCTGTATTTATATTCAGTGAGATGCTTTGATTGTTACCAAATAATATTTATTTGTGAATCAACAGACAATGATTTTTCATAATTATACTAATAAGAGATGCATGAATAATACCTTACACATTTTAAGGGGATAAAATAAATATTCAACACACTCATTTTGCAAGAAGAAAAACAACGTGTATGATTTACTTTTCTTTTTTTTCCCATTCTCTTATGAAATATTTGCTATACAAGTGAAGGCCGTACGATTCAAGTATGTTGTGTACAAAAACATCGACTTTCCGCGAAAAGAGAGCAGAAATATGTGCATCAATCAACTTTCCTTTCTCTCTCTCTGTCGATAAATCATGTGCTGCAAAGACACAATGTATCATTGACAGAAAATATTCAGTGTAAACTTCTTGATTAATTTATGCTCGAACAGCGCAAAAATGAAAATTTTGAAAAGTTCATTTCTCAAATCTATACAAACTTTTATGGAGAGCACGTAAGGATACGAGACTCGGTAATTCTGATGTTGCCTTGCTAGGATTCTAATCTATAACTGACTTACTAATGATCAATGAGGTAGAATGAAATAAACTACCCGAGAGTTATATGTACTGCAAAAAGTGTATATGGAAATATCAGTATTTTTGCAATAACTCAGGAATGGCTCAACTTTAAACTCGACCGATAGTTTATCAAAATCTGTCTCTCCTTTCGAAAGGTATCGTGTATACGGATGGACACACTGACCGATTCTATATGTGTACTCACTTTTTGAGTACACAAAAACACCTTTAAATGCTTTTTATTATCATTAAACTTCAATGAAAAAAGACAAGAACAAAACGAATATCTTTTTACAAAAAAAACTTCATTGATTTGAAATTAATCAATCATTTGGTTTTTTTGATGAAGAAGAAGAAAGTTTCTTATTCAAAGATCAAAATAAACAAAACGTTCCATTCTTTGATTTCAACGAATTGAATTAAATATGATAAAACATTTATTAAATATTTATTTAAATTTCTGTAAAAAATATAACAATTCTTTTTGAAAGTTTTAGTACTGTTTTGTTTTATTTAAATTTCTTAGTTCATTTTTCCTTCGAAAGTTATTCTAGATTTTTATCTATACTATATGAAAATCTTTTTAATATTTGATTTGTTTAACAAATTTCATTTTGAATTCGATTTTTATTTTTCAGTTCTCAAAGAAGATTTCTTTCCTTTTCTTGTTCGAACATTTTAAATTTCATCAAACACAAAATACTTTCTTTTCTTCTCTTTCATAAAATTCAACAGAAGATGAAGACAATTTAATGTTAGTTTGCTGGAATCTTTCGATTAAAATCATCAAGTTAAATTCAGTTTTCAAGAAAATAGTCCCAAAAGACTTTTCTTCGTTCTTTTATTCAATAAGAAACTTTTTTCTTTTTCACAATCAAAATTTCATTCATAATATTATTTCAAATTTCTGAATTCGATGATTCAAAAAATCAGCAACATAAAGATTTCCTTCATCATCAAAAGATAAATTTATGGGATCAGCCAATTGATTTGATTGATTTCCTTCGCCATTTCCACCAACAATAATTTCACCTTCTTCTTTTCCTTCACACCAACGCATTACTCGATCATTATCAGTATCTACTACATAGATTCGACCCAAATCATCAACAATCATTCCTGCAGGTGAAGACAATTGATTAAGATTTCTTCCTCGACCGTTTCCTCCAGCTACAACTGTTCCTTCTTTTGCACCTTTTCTCCACTTCATCACACGATGATTGTTTTGATCTGACACATAAACAGATTGATCATCATCAACAAAGATAAAAGTAGGCTGATTAAGTTGATTAAGTTCATTTCCGTCTCCGTTTCCACCAGCCACTACAATTCCTTCACTGTTGTATTCTCCCATTTTCCATCGTCTCACTTCATTCTTCACAAAATCAGAAACATAAAGAAATCCATGTTTATCCATTGCTAAGCCATAACAGTCAATATTGTCAATGAGAATTTGTTGATTTTGATTCAGCCATTGAACCACTCGGTTGTTCCCAAAATTAGCAATGATGATCGAATGGTCTTGTTGATCAATAGTCACATCCGTTGGAAAATCTAATTGATCTATTCGATTTCCTTGTCCATTTCCACCAGCAATGATTTTTCCTTTTTTTGCATTATATTTCCATACAACAATACGATGATTCCAATAATCAACAATGAAAATATTTTTCTGTTTATCAATAAAGATTCCGCGAGGGTCATTGAGTTGATTTAATTCTTGTCCTTTTCCATTTCCACCAGCGACAGTAATAGCATCTTGTTCCCATTTGTCCCATTTTGGTTCTAGAAAATGATGAAAAGAAAAGATTTTGATAAAAACAACAATAGAATTTGTTTTTGGTCGAATAAGAAAAAGAAAAAGTTAATTTTAAATTCAATGTTCATAAACATGTTTAATGAAAAGACAAAATGTATTTGATATTTTTTGTTGAATTTTGGAAAGAATTTGTTGACAAAAAAACATAAATCATTTGAAGTTTTGTATTTAGAAAATAAAAATAAATTTTTTTGAAAAGAACTGTATCAGAAAAAGTCTATTGCTGTTTTTTTTTGAATAAAATCGAGAATGCATCCTATTCCGCGATGTTGAACATTGAGGAATCAGTTCCGCACCGGAATCGATTCCGTCCAATTTCGGGAACTCGATCGACACACAACATAAGACATTCCGTCGAGATTGATCGAGTTCGGCTGATTCCAGAATTTCTACCAATTCCCACCGATTCCGGAATTGCGGGAATTGGTTCCGATTCCGGAATTCCGTATCGGAATCACACCATCCACCTCACCCACATTTGTTGTGTTGTGTTGATAAGTTATCCCGTTTGGATACGATCTAATTCCGTTACGGAATTCCGGGAATTCCATCAAGACGGAATTGAGTGGAATTGGACGGAATTCCTGCCGATTTCGGAAATGGACGGAACTCGATCAATTTTCGAGTGGGTATCGGGTATTATGTATTGATCGAGTTCCCGGAATTGAATGGAATCGATTCCGGAGCGAAACTGGTTCCTGAAATGTTCAACATTGCGGAATAGGATGACTGCTCCATACTGACCGATTCTAGTAGTGTACTCACTTTTTGAGTACACAAAAACACATGAAACAATATGCACTATTATATTAATATCTCGTTTTGCTTACCTGCCACTAATGTCAACATCATACCATCGTGAAGGTGTGGCCGTGGATGGGTGTAGGTGTGAGTATTACTCTAACCTTACTTTGACACCCACACTCCAAACTAACGTTTAACACGATTGCCTCACTCACTTAAATATTAGTTTTGACATATTTCGATTATTACTGTGATGTAGTGACTTTCGTCATTGGAACTTTCCTACATTGTTATATTCTTTTGCTTCAAATTTTTTCAATATTCAGCAGAAGTCACTAAAATTAATAATAAAATTAGTTCCTTTCTATCATTGGTTGTAATGTTCACTACTCACGAGTTAACGGTAAAACTTATGATTCATGGTAATTGTTGATAGGTGGCGTAATGACGTATTTCGAAGGAAGAAAAATTACACATCACCAAAATAATTGTAAATAGGAGAGAAAAGAATGCAAATCACATATTTCATTCTGTATTGCGTCTGTGAAAGCACATTGCTCTCATAAAATTGTTTTTTTATGTTTTTAGAACGAGAAAAGGATCTATATTGTTAATTGAAATTTAACAATTCATCTTAATGTTCTTTTTTTTCAAAGAAGACAAGATCAAAAAACAGTGTAGTGCGCTTATGTTTTTTATTGGTGAAGAAATAATTATATACATAAAATCTCATCATGACGATGTACATATATATCTATTTATTTTAGATTACGTTATGAAGCGTTCTTTTGATGAAACTGACCAAACAACTGATGATAATAGTTCTACAAAACCAAAAGAAGCAGTAGTTAATGCACCGAATATTACATGGAGTCACACATGGTCATTTAATGAATCACGTGATGCCTTATCAGAATCATTTTTTGCTAATATTCCTAATGAAATTCTATTGCGCATATTTCAACTACTTTCTGTACGCGATTTGTGTAGTATTTCATCAGTTTGTCGATTGTTTAAAATGATCACCGATCAAGATGAAATCTGGAAATTCAAATACAATAGTAAGCGTAATTTATATCTTTTTATTATATACATATATATTGAATAGCATCAACAAAAATATATTCAAAATCTTGTAAACAAATTTATATGGATTGGATCTACGAAAAATCTCTTCGTAATATCGAACTACGAAGTATTTATCGCCGATGCAGAACTGCATGTATTCGATGTGCGCCACCTTTATATCCTGTTCGACCGTCTACGGAAGAAAGATTCGAATCCATTGCTGGATTCACTGAGCATCCGAACTCATCAGCAGATATGTAAGAATTTGAATATTAATTTACATTGAACTAAAGATGATTTTCATATAGTTTACGAATTGAGAATAGAATAAACGAATGATAAAGTGCTTTTTATTGTTTTAGGACTATCGAACTATCGGTGAATATTGATACTACAGCTCGTGAATTAGTACAACTACTTGAAAAGGCATCAAAATGTCAAGAGCAATGGCAGGAACCTCCTATTTTAAAACAAATGATAACAAGATACTATCGTTTTATGCGATTGAAAGCATCTCATCCAATAAATATTCTATTGATTCCTACTATGGATATTGAAATTGTCTGGCAGACTCATTTACTTCGACCTGAAATGTATCAAGCTGATTGTCTTCGTTTGTTTCGTCGCGTAATTGATCATTCATTATTAATCATTGATATTCAACAGATGTTGAAAGACCAGGCATTTCAAGATACTTGCCAACTATATGAAAAAACATATGGCGAACACTATTGTACATTACCAGCAGATAATGATAAACAAGAAAGTGCATCAAATATGAATCGTCGTTCTAAGCCAAACTATACTTATTGGGATAAGACACAGTGCAAATTTTCAACGCAACCGCCGAAGGATTACGAGAATCCTTTTTCATTTACTGAATCTGATATTATTCTGGATATGAGTTGGCTTGATTCATGCAAACAGTTTATGCGTAACGCCCTGGAAAACATTTCTGGCGCAGCTTATAATCCTGATGGACGTTTTGATATTGATCTTGGGAAAGGAGCAATGAAAAGATTAAAAAAATCGTACGAACGATTTTTATATATGGCAGCCAAATATCCACTAGAGAAAAGCAATAGTTTCGTGCCTCCTACTTATGCGGTAAATCCTTATTGATGATATTAAAAAATAATTACGATAATGTACTTATTAACATTTTTTAGATCGACATTATTTGGCACTCTCATATGCAAGAACCATTGAACTATAGAGCTGATTGCATTCGTTTTGTTGGATATGTTGTCAATCATGCGCCATGGCCGATGATCGAAGACGATATTATGAAAAAAACAAGTGATCAATCAGACGATATGTGGAAAAAAGAATTTCAATCGGATATCGAAACTG